ATGGTAGAGAGGCTGGTCGCGGATGTCCGGCTTCGAATCGTATGGGACTTTCAGTTCTGAGCCCCAGGTGGCATATGCGTAGGATGTAAACGACTAGCTTGGCCTCAGCGATGTGTGATCTCTTGCAGGCGGTAGAGGATTGCGATCCGATGCAGGGTTTATGTGTGAAGGGCCACAGGGTGCGCACAACTGAGCGAATAGACTGCTGGGTTCCAGATTGTAGGCTTGCGCTTTGAGTCCGAAGTCCTCCTCAGTCACCATTCGTAACGTGAAGCACTGCGCCCTTCTCTTGCTGTCGAAGCTACTGCTCACTCCAGGCTTATGCAGGGTAGATGGCAACTCAGCTGCATTCAAAGCTCTTAAAGCTAGAGAGCGGACAGAAGTATTTGAGGCATCAATCAGATGTGCCATGTCCAGGCCCGCGCATGCGCCTGCAGCTTGTGCTCCGGCATGATTGGATGGGGTTCCGCCAGCGCCCGAGCTCTTGTGACCTTCAGCAGCCATTAAAGCCCACAAGCCTCTGCATGGCCTTTGAGATGGTAATTGGCCTGATGTTGATGAGGGATGGTCGATTTTGTCGTGCTAGTAGGTTCAAGAAAATTAGCCTTTTCTAGATTCAGAAACTTCTGCTTCGAGGGGGCATGCACCGTATGAGCGGGCATGCGCAGCTGTGAGGGTCCAGGGGCCGCCTCAATGAAGTGTATACGAGCAGTCCCAGCATCGAAGTTGGACCACGCCTGATGGCGAGACTGCTTTGAGGGCCTCCCGAGCAGCACCTTTACTTCAAGAAGGAAGGCGACAGCATTCGGTGTTGCCATCCAGTGTGCAAAGCCTGATACTGGAATACCACCCTCATCAAATAGATGCACGGTTTTTGTCATTGTTGTCGCTGTAGTTCATAGATCTCCGGCTGGGTCACTGTCCAAACAGCGTGCAAGCTTCTTCTTATGCAGCTGTACCATTTCGATCTGGCCATGAACACGTGCGCGGTGTTTCTGCACTCTCGACAATAACCAGCCCCTTCACCAGTCCTGCCATTGCAGGTTGGCTTGTTGTCCCAAGGCCTTCCGCAAGTAAAAGTTGGCCGTGTCTGAGGAAAAGGCTTCCCTGAGTCCCTGCTCCCACTCTGTGCTCTGTACCCGGCCCTGCCAGGTTCTTTGAGGCCTCGCGCGCACCAGTTGACAGCTCACATCCCCTCTGAGGCTCTTCCAGGTCTGCCACTGCCAAACGCGATCGTTTTTGGGGGAGGTGCCCGGCTTGCTGGTCCGGCGTCAGTTTACTTTGGCCTCGGTCAGTTCCATATCGGTGGCGTTGCATTGTTCGCGCCGGTGGAGGAGTGTTTGCGTTTTGCGCTGCCTTGCAGGTCGCTAAGTGCTGCATTGGCAGCTTCTCCCAATATCAATGAACTGCTCCTTTGTGGGCAAAGCTTTGGGGTCACCGTGTCCCGCAGCCTGGCTATTCAGCTGGCCACTTGTGGCCTTTCGGTTCGGGGTGTGGTGGCCATGGACCCGCGCTGCGTGGACCTCACAGCCCTGCAGGTCATCACTGCGGTGCCCCGCAGCCTTGCACAGTCGTTGGCTGCTCCGTGCTGGCGCCTGGAGGTGCTGGAGGTCGAATTTGTTGCGCCACTGCGTCCGCGCGGGGCTCTCGAGGGCCGCGCCTTCATGCAACTAGGCAGGGGCTTGAGCGCATCATGGGATTTCCAGCTGTCAACACATTGTGCTTGGTATTTTCCAGATGCAGATCATTACAGCATCAGCGACATGCATGCCTGGGACATGTCCCACTGCATCAGGCGCCAAAGCCATCGCAGTGTCTGCAGGCGTCGTCTGCAACGTGTCTGCTAAGCCATGCCTCCCGATCGGCCATCGATGCCAAAAGCCTTTTTCATTAAGGCAGTCTGTCATGGAGTCATCGCACAGCACTTTTCATAGCAACAGCAGTTGACTTGAGCTGCTCTTGTACTGATATGCCGGGATATGAATGCAATGTGTAGGATCTCTGAACAAATAAGATCATTAGCAAGTGCTGGATGCTGGTAACTAGTAAGCTGTACGTCCCTGCAGCCTCCGTACTCTTAACGCTACAAACAACGCTCCGGCCCACCCCCAGCCTTCTGCATTACTGCAGTGTGTGCTGCCAGTTTTGTTTTGGGTGGTTGCTCGAGCCTCACGTTGACGTTTCTGGCATCCACCCGTGACGAGCATGCCGCGCAAATTTTCTTTCGAGCGGCCGCGCAGTTCGTCACTGGCTGGGAGGCCACATCGCGAAGGCAAACATACTAGGTTTGGAGCTCAGGTCTGACTTTGGGCCGTGCAATTGCGCGCTTGCAAATCTCGGAAGCCCGAGCTCTTGCATGGAACATCCTCTGTGTTGTTATGCCAGATGAGAAGAAAGGCCTCGCGTGACTCACGTGTAGCGAGTGACAAAGAAGCCCTGTTGCAAGCTTCTTTTGTCGCCTGTGACCATAAGGAAGCAATACATCGAGTGAGTGTTGTCCTCAGCCGGCTCTTCAGCTTCAAGGCCGCTGTCTCTTGCCGCATGCAGACCGCTGCCAGCTAGACACAACCTGCAGGATGCTCGTTGATCACGGTGTGCATCGACACAGGCCCATGGCTTCAGGTTCAAGGTCAACATGCTGCACGCATTGCGGTGGAACAAAAAGATGACTGAGCTGAGCATGCTGAGCACTATTCAACTGTTCTGCTGAGGACTTTGAAGCTTGGCTATGTGTGTTTCTCGAGCTCTCAAAAGGCTGTTGACAGTACTGATCATATTGTCGTTCGCTTCAGATGAGCAACCCATCCTCGCCTGACACTCCTGTGGGTATGGCGGCTTTCATCTTATATCGTTTGTTGCTTGCAAAAAATGCACACACACGACGAACTCACAGACAAACTTGCTTTGCATGGATGTGCTTTGCAATCTAGAAAAGCTGCACTGTAGGAGTCATGGAAGCAAGCTTTCACACATCATGTTGAAAGTGTCATCCCGAATGTCTCTGGCCAGGTCCCAGGAAACATTCCGCCATCACCCAGTTTTGGAAAAACTTTCCGAATGATCGTCCTCAGTCCTGTCTCCTGCAAAACTAGCCACATCATGATGAGGGCTGTATGCTTTAACCTTGACATGTGACCGAACACCAACAGAATGAGCTCTCAAACAAAGCTTGCTGTTTTGGATGATGGAACTTGGACTCGTTGAGCCGTGCTTCTCTGAAATTCAGACAAATGGCCAAATCTTTGTAAGCCCGCAAACGACAAACATCGAGAGTCGAGAAAGCACTTCCAAAAACAAATGTAGAGGTGTCATTTGGAGTTTGGCCGGCCAGGTGCCAGGAAATAATTCCGCGGATGCCCATTCTGGAAGAGTTTATTTATGTTCGTATTTGAGTGTCGTGCGTATGCAGACAGACTCGGTTTTCATCTTACAGCGTGCATTGTTTTCTCCGCAGGAGATCTTGGGCAAACTGCCATGGCTTGCTGAAGGCCATCTTACTGCGTGCCAACGCCGGGGAACGGCTGGCGGGGGTCAGCTTAGGGCAAGTCGGGGGCTCGTTTCACATGTTTTTGACGAGTACAGGTCTGGCACGCAGTTTTTGCATGCCTTGCGCACCGCGACGTGAAGCTGGCCAACATCTTGCTGCTCATTACATTGACTGTTGTTGTTGGTGGTGGTGCTGCTGCTGGTG